ATTTTATCGTGACAGTGAGCCGTACTGGTGGCGGCAAGCCACTGAAATGCGTGAAAAAGTAGATAAAGTTAGAGGATGGGACTTTTCGATTTTTCACACGAGCCACCATATGTAATCTTTTCTTTGTCTCTGAATTCTGGTACACATTACAGGTTTTGCATTGCTCGCGTAAAAACGTGCAGATGCTACACCATGTATTTGCAGTATTTATATGGGGTTCAGTGTGAGAACGGTCCAGTAACACTGATCTTTTTCACCGTGTTCGGTTCGGTGGTTTCAGTCTGTCACATTTGTTTTTAAGACAAATTGTTCGTCGTTTTATGTTTTTGCGAGACACAAGAGACCCGTTTTTTACGTGCAGTTATTCAGCATAGGCTTGGAAGAGTTTTACCTTCACTAGTTGTCACCTATAACTATGTGCATGGGACGCTTTATGGTTATTTAAAAGAAGTCGTCGGTGCATGCAACTTTTTATTGGCACGTTTCTCCAGTGAATAGCGAGAGTAAAACGAAAAAGGTTGTATAGAGACCTTCTCGAAATCATTTTGCCGGTACCACTTTACAGGAGTTTGTATCCAGCTCGATGTGTCCAAAATGTACTGGCCCGAGTAAAAAAAATGACTGTCCCATCTAGTTCAAAATCATTTTTCTTTAGGGCTCAATACAGGGACTCTAGAAGTTAAAACGTGAATGCAAGAAAGAGGACTGTTTTTACCTTGGGGAACGCACTGTTTTCTTTGTCGTAAACCTGAAACCATCGAACATGTCTTTCTGAATGTTTTTCTAGGACATTCTGTAGAACTACCAAAAAAGATTCACCGATTGATGCCTATGGGATCAGATTTTCACCAGTGAATGAAGAAGGCGATGGAGCACGTTATGATACTGTTATATTCTTTGGCCTTCACAGTATTTGGAAAAAGTACATGGCAGTCCACCATGCCGACATCAATACATTGCCCAATCGTGAATATTTCCGCCAAATGATCACGAAGTTTATGGAAGAGTCAAAAACTAAAGACCAATACCAGAGTGGCTGGAACATCTTGAGCCACTTATCCGTATAAAGGAATTCTAGTCACTATGTAACCATTTCATTCGTTACCTCTGCATGTACTGTTCATGCACTGTATTAATATTGTATGATGTGCCAAAGTAAGTAACAAAGAAAAAAACCGGCGTAGCTCAGTGGTAGAATACTGCACTGGCACCCAGCATACTCGGGGTTTGCACCCCATGCACTATGTCTTTGGCACTGATTTTTTTTTTCTAATTTCGCGCGATGTGGTTACGGACACCGGCGGCGGCATTGGGACCCGAGTTGTGATCTCATAACAGGTTTCGCTGTAATAAATTGATTATGCTTTGCGCACTCGGTGCCAAATTCAAACTCGTGTGCGCACGCATCAAGTTTCGATTGGCTATATGTATGTTCGCGGGCGCATGTGAAACGGGCAACCAAGGATGTCGCAAGGTTAAGCAACGCCCTCCCGTTCCTCCTTTTTCTCCTTCACTTTCTTCTCTGTAAAAAAATACAATAAGAAAAGTAGCAAGATGGTACCATCATCAGTCGGTGTTCTCAGGTGGTCTTCCTCACAAGTACTGACCGAGCCTAATGCTGCTTAGCTTCGGCGGTCGGACGATAACCGGCACATTCAGCATGGTATGTCCTATGGCAGGAATCGGTCGTTCCATAACACCACTTATAACGGACTACGCTACTTGTAGAATCATCTCACCAAGTTATAACGCACTAAGCTATATGTAGATCCATCTCGCCAAGTTACAATTGTTACAATTAACAGCATATGCAGCTCGTTAAATTCTTGTTGGCGGAAAACGTCGGAGGTGCGTGACTACTGTCTGTTGTTTTCCAGCAGAAAGCTTGCTCTGTTTCTTCGCTGAGGCGCACAAGCACGAGTGCGCCAACTTCTACGCACTGATGTGTGTGTGCGCTTACGGGCCTCCGCCACCGGCCATGCTCGTAAATCACTTTCTATAACGTAACAACAGTGTGTTTCGTCGGCTTTTATAACTAAGCGGCCCACGAGTGGCCGATACAAAGTAGGATTAATTGGATGCCCATTAATGCTAGTGTAAGCCAGCCACCGCGGCGGTCTAGTGGTTAAGGCATTCGGCTGCTGACCCGCAAATCGCAGGGTCGAATCCCGGACTCTGCGGCCACATTTTCGATGCCCCCATTGCAACGCTCGCACCGACGTTTATCCACCACATCAGTGTTGCTTTCAGTTTGATAACATGGCTACTATAGATATCCAGGAAAATTCATACAGCTTGTGCGAGGCCAATATACCAAAAACTATAGCAAACCCGTCTGTGTAGGGCACTCACTCTACCACGGTATACATGTAAAAGTTATTGGGCGGATAATGATAATGGTGTTCACGCAGATAATCATGTTGGGGCTTCAGCCTCGTTCTTTTAACAGTGCAGCTGCTTAAAGGGCCAGTCAACAGGCTCTAACACGCACAGGAAGCTCGCACATTATTCGTGCGCGTGACCAACCTCCTTCCATGCAGTGACGTCAACTCGGCGATCAGCAACGTGACGTAGCACGCAGCTGGTCGATTGATATCAACCAGGTCTCAATAAACAGTAATGAAGTCAACGTCGCCGATCGCCGAGTTGACGTCACTGCGCTTGGAAGCAGGTTGGTCACGCGCAGAAAATGTGCGCGAGCTTTTGCTGCGCGTTGGGGCCTGCTGACTAGCCCTTTAAGTCGCCCGTAAAAACTTCCGTTGTCTGCAGGAAACCACGGGTGGGTATGCGCCACGGGAATCGGGCAAGCCCAGATACCGAATAAAACAGGAGCGAACGCTTGCTAGGCGAAGACAAGCAAGTGAAACGTGCAAAGAGGGAGAGTAAGAAAATTTGCGATAGATGGAGAAGAAGAAACAAAGACACAAAAACCACAGGTGAAGAAATGAAGAAACGGACAAAAATATACATAGAAGAAACACAGAGGAAGACCGAAAAATAAGGACAAATGAAGATGAGCAAGAAGCAGAAGGATAGAGAAGGAAAGGAAAGAGAGAAAAAGATATTAAGAGCGAGGAAGAAATAACTAGAGAAATAGAAAGCAACATATGTGATAAAACGTTGAAAATACAGAGATGAAGAAAAATATCTAGATAATGTAATAGACAGCATACTTTTCTTCGGCGTTTCGGATCTGGATTTCAGCCGAAAGAAGGCTTTCAATGCCGTCTGTAGTTATCTTCAAAAAACTAAATGAAGGCGACCTTAAATTCCTAATCGTGCATTTATTATTATTGCAAAAACAAATTACTTTTAAAAAGCTTACTATACGGGCGAAGCTCCTTATATAGGCTGTGGGTCGCTCCCTGTGTAGTAGCAGCAGTACGTATATAGCCACCTCATTTATGAATTGCTTAATAGATGACGTTGTGTGTATATGTGCTTGGAAATGTTATCACAAAATGGTGTTCTTTGTTCTCGAATTGTTGCTTTCTTATAGTTGCCGGACAGACATCTCGCCCCCCTTCATCATCATTCACTCAGTTTAAATGCCGCGAATTGTTTCTTTCAATTTAACTTCTATAAAAAAGATAACTTATAATGTCTGACCTGAATGGGTAAAAAACTATTGCACTATTCTTATTAGACCTCTACCGGGGGACGTCACAGCGTGACGTCATCGGTGCATGCGCAAAGCGGTGGTTGGCGAAACACTCCCGCCGGTGGCTGAGTGGGGTGCAGTCGCTCGGTGTTTGGGGCATTTTTTTTCTTTTTGAAAGCTTAATCTTCATCTCACAGTGGCTGGCATGTGTCAGAGAACATCTAGGTATGTGATCAAGTGCGTGATGAAATATTCGCCACGCTGGCTGGCCGTTTATCTCGGAGAAGTGAACACAAGTGGCGGCCATCTCTCTTCCATCATCTCTTCCCCCAAGTTGGTATGATCTATGTTAGAGACAAGAACAAGGAAAGTCACTCATTTCAGCTACTTTTTTTTCCATTTATAACAAAAGCGATGGCCGAATTTTCGAGGTTGGAAAACCCCGAGCCTGAGCGCCTATGTATTTTAAGGCACCACAAGGAGCTGCTTTAGTATAGGCATTTGCCAGAGCGCTATAACAAAGCACAAAGCCAGGCATCAACACACTCCACGCATCAACGATCATGCACTAATATATATATATATATATATATATATATATATATATGGAAAAGAGGTGTATACCTAAGGGCCAAACGAGCCCTTAGGTATACACCTCTTTCCCTTATTCATTAACGAGGGTCTCGTACTGGCAGACTTGGTGTCATTAGGTTGTATACGAGAGACTATTGGTCAGCTGCCCACTTGTAATAAGCTCACACGCTACGTGACGCTGCGCAGGCTTATAAAATGGTGTTCCACACTCGCCGCTTGGCTACAGATGACGCTGACTGACACTCCCACGTTTAAAGTCACATATAAACCAAAAAAAGTGGGTAGGGGAAAGGCCGCTTTGATAGCTCAGTGATTACAGCATCGAACGCGTTATTAGGCGGACGAAGGTTCGATTCCTGCTCACAGCTAGTTATTTTTTCACCCACTTTTCTTTCTTCTTACTTACCTTACTTATATTACATTTGTTCTAATAACTTCCCCTATACATTCCTTGGCATTATTGTCTGTTATATCTCACATACATAAATATATATATATATATATATATATATATATATATATATATATATATATATATATATATATATATATATATATATATATATATATATATATATATATATATATATATATATATATGCCCGCCATGTCAAGCTCCTTGCTTCTGTGGCGCGCCACCACTTCCGCCGCACGGTTGTCCCCACAGAGATCATTCGCATGAAGCGTCTGCAAACGACACAGAGAGAACAAGGGCAAATGTTAAGGCAACACCAGTCGCAGCCCAAAGCACAAGCCTTCCACCCCCACCCCCCAACAAAACAAAAAAAGGTAATCGCAAAACACGGTGGATCCCGAAGAATTTTTTTATTAACGCAAAAACAAAACCAAATAGAAAGCACAGAATTTGCAATATGACTGGAAGAACTCGGTGCGACCCGCCCAAAATGCGATCGACCTCGATTATCAACTTTTGAAGAAGAATTGAAAATCACATCATCCCAAATAGGCTGAATGAAAAAGTGCTTATTCTGGGATGCTTTGAACATGAACAAATACAAGGCATGAAAGAAAGAGAAAAAAACTATGATGAAAATCTGCGCTGGCCGAGTACAAAGTCCGAAATGAATGGAGGCGGCTGTCCGAACCCTGTTTACTAAACTTTAGCTTTTTTTCTTTTATCTCTGTTGCCAGACTTTTCCACGACATCATTGGGAAGAAACGTCCTCGACATGATGTGCGCTTGAGTCTTACGAGCAATAGAGGAAGCGCTGTGATGCGCGTACGACACCAACGGCGCCGCGACTGCTACTCGCCGTCGTCGCCTGGCTTGCATTCAAATTCTTCATCGTGGCACAAAGCGCGAGGAAGGCGTCTCGTGGCGCCCGCGTCCCCATGCCGTCCCGTCTCGTTCGACTCGACGACGCCACTGGCACATGAACTGTGCGCCGGCCCTTGTTTGTCGGCCGTCTGGTGCGCGCCGCCACCGCCATCTTGGGTGCCCTTTTTAACGCCTTCGGACGTTCCCTCCGACCTCTCTGCCTCGCGGTCCACCTCTCCACAGTCTGGACCGCCAAAAACACGTCCCGCGACAGAGTCTGACGTGACTCCATCGTTTCCGAACGTTACGTCATTTCGAAAAGAAACCTCGACGTCACCGCTCATTTCTTGGCCGGCCGCACTACCATGGTCTTCTGAAGCTCCGCCTTCTTCGAGGCGCTGCTTTATCAGGCGTCTCTCTTCTATATCTGTCGCGACACAGGCCTGTTGAACCACGACGTCACTAGCACCCTCAGCTGGATAGTCGGCGTCGACCGCTCCTTTCTGCTCACCTAATTTGGCCCTAGATATTCGACGCACCCAGTCGTCCATGTCCGAGTCGAGAGTTTGTCTTCCACGTCCGAGCTCTCTTCGAAGACGTATTTACGAGGATGGCGGACAGCCCTTTGGTTACCTCCTTCCCTGAGTGCGCTTGACGTTTGGCCGCCTTCATCAACCTCCCTCTGCACCTCCTCTTGCTCACTTTCGCACGAGACAGCCCCAAAGTCACGGTTGATGCCCTCGCAAAGCTCGCTCTCGCGCACCTTGTTTCCCGGAGGACAAGTGCCGGACTCAGAACCCTGCTCAATACTATCGGTCACGTTCTGTTGTTGGCCCGGCTTCGCCCGTTGAAAGGCAAGAGTCTCCCCAAGCTTCGCTGCACGTTTGCCGGAGCCTCCGGTCGCTGTACCTGCCAGTAAGTCGCCTCCCGTACTGTCCAGCAGCAGAGAGCGGAGTTCCTCACTGACATGACGGGCCATAAAAGCCACTTCCTCGGCCTTGACCATCCCTCCACTGTCCCTGTTGTGTAAGCCGGTATCTGCCGACGACTCGTGGGCGTCGATGCCGTTCGAGGACTTGCCCAACTCAAGTTCCTCGAAACGCTCCGACTGTGGTGGCGTGTCCTCATCCACAGGCAACACTTGAGGGATAACATTTAACGCCACGGGACGCTCGCTCGGCAAACGCCCTCCTCCCTCTCCGTGATCGGAGCTAAATTGGGCCGCGCCTTGGCGAACAGACAAGTTCAAGGCGTTCTCGAAGTTCTTCAGGCGCAGGTTGATGTCTTCGCAGAGAGCCTTCATGCCCCCTGAACAGTACTCGTTTTCGTCGTTACCTGCGTAGTCCCCTTCCATGTCGACCTTGAATTCTTCGGAGTCCCACACCGCCTTAGCCTCTGGCCCCATGTTCCTAGCCGATAAGGCTGCTACCCTATCCGCCATCATGACCGCAACCGTTCGCATGTCATCCGCTTCATCTTGTCCAGCTTCGTCTTTCGTTGTCTCGACGCTAAATTCCGGCTCGTCTGCTACACTGAGGTTTCTCTCCATATTTCCCAGATCGGAATCTTGAGAAGCTTCCGCAGCCTCTCGTTTCACATTGTCCGTCACAGTCGGGCCAGCTGAATCCCTCTGAACGATCCCCTGTGCCGCGAAAGTGGTGGTCGCCAATTCAGCGTTCATCGAGGATCCCCGACGCTGTCCCTCTCCTTTTCCAGCGCATTCGACGGCCGAGTCCACCTTCCTCGATGGCTGCTCCGTGGCATGGGAGTCCTTTTTGTCATCGTTAGCATTCGATGGCTGCGGCAGCTGCTGCCCATTCACTTGCCTATCACAACTGCTGTCTTCTGCGTGTTCTGTGAGGTTGGGGAGCGAGACGGAGCATCGAGAGACGAACTCGCTGGGTAACGTGTCATCTCTTTTGCTGTTTTCATTGGTTGACAATTCGAGAGACTCGACCGACACGTCCACTGACGAGCTCAGTATGGCTGGACTGCTTGCGTACACTTTTTCAGACACGCCGTCTTCTGCCTTCGAGGAATTTTTCCCTTCGCTGGTTGGCGCTGCGCTGGGCTCAGTGTTTTTTTCCACGTAAAGAATGTCCTCAACATCGGCTTTTTTATCGGCGAGTGTGCTTTCAGCACCAAGAATCGTCTGTTGTCCAACTTCACGCTCTTTGGCTGACGACTTTTCTTTTTCCAAGCTGGCCTTGACGCGCTTGTCAGTGATTGCTGCATCTCTAACTCCGTCGCCGGCGTCAAAAGCGGCTAACGCACCTTCACGATCTTCCAAAACCGCCCAACACTCTTCTCGAGGCGCTCGTTTCTCGCAGTCAACGCCTCCGCTCTCTGCTGCTTCCGCGACACCACGGAAGACCTCAGCAACAGCGTCGTCTCCGTGCAACCAGTGTAGCAGTTTGGGACCCGTTCCGCCCGCTCCGTCTGCCGAGCCGCCAGACCACCCAAGCACCAGCTGTACATCGTCGTCCTCCGGTTCGGATTCGATGTCAACAGCGTCGCACTCCGGAAGACAGCGAGGCGTGTCCCTGATCAGCTCTAGCAGCTTATCGAACGTAGGCCACTCCTCGTCGATTCCCTCAGCCGCCAGGCGTTTACAATACCTAGTCCAAGCGTCGCGTATTTTTTTCCTAGTCTCCTTAAGGATCATTTGGCTGTGATCATCTGCGCACCAGTTGTCTTCGTCATGCCCTCCATCACCGCGGCGACCATTGCGGTGCTGGCCGCCACCCCGCTGACGCGACTGGCCCTCATCAGCGGACCTATAGCCACCTCCCTGGTTGTGTCCGCCAGACGAGTTCTGACCATGCTGCGAGTGACCGCCACCGCTGTCTCCGTGGCACCCACCGAGTCTGGAGAAGTTTCCTTTTTTGTCACAGCGATTGTTCGACTGGTTGTTATGGTGATAGCCACCGAAGCGGTCGTGGCCTTGGCCGCCGCGATGGTCATTGCAGTTGCCGCGGTCACCGTGGCGGCGGTTCCCGTTGTTCCAGCCGCCACACCTCCGGTCTCCCTGCCGGTAGTTGCGGTCGTCGTTTTCCCTTCGCCACTGGTCATCGTGCTGTCTGTTGTTGCTACTGCCGTTAGCTTGCCGTGCCTCGTGCTTTTGCCGCCATTCCTCCTGATCTGCGAAACTGCGGTTGAACGGCGTGCCTCCACCTGCGTAAGATGGGCGAGGAAGGAACATTTAACATGTACTTTAACAAAAGGAATACTGATTGAATACATGGTAGGATAAAAAACGAGTACCAGAAGGAAACACCTACAACAGACGGGCGCATACTTGTTTCTTTCTAGTACGCAGACTTAAATAACATGCACTTAGGTATGAAGGAAAATGTAAATGTAAAGGATAGTTTTTTTTTGTCAGACACAATATTAATGAGAGTTTGTTAATAAGCATTAATACACTTGAGTATGTTGTACCAACTAGCCCACATTTAGTTCCTCCTGCTTCAGAATGAATACATGAAGGGAAAACGTTGAGTTAAGCCGACCAATACTCGCAATTGTGGCGAGACCTCCCCAATTGAATATTATTTGAGAAGCTTGCAATAGCTACAAAACTAAAAGTACGGTTTCTCTACTCTCGCCGGTTTTTCACACTCGTACTCAATTTTGAACTATATTCCGTGCAGAGGGTTAAACCTTCTATATTAACCAAAACGCTGGGAAATTTCACTGCATTTGATCGAGTAGTTGACTAATAATCGAATATTTTATAAACACGCGAACGACCTGAGAATCGGGCAACACTGGCACACTCGCGAGCCATGACGTATCAATAAGCTCGATATGCTGGCATCTCATCTCCGGCCAACAATATTGTTCCGTAGTGAGTGGCTGGGCATTAAAATAGAACGAATAGTAGAGGCTGAACATTTGACAGAATGTAGCGGCTTTGCTACTCGTATCACATCACGTCTGCAAAATGACGTAGGATGGGGGTTTTCTAAGCCGGCAACTTCTCGGGCTCGTTTAGCACCGAAATATTCTTTTACAGTCCATTCAGATAGAGACATATTGGGCCCTCCACATCTAATTACGGCTGAAAATTGCAAACTGTTTGATGACCCTGTCATGGCCCCTGTAGGCCTTTTAGCAGGTTTCAAGCTTACAATATCAGCAACACATGTTGCTTCTTAAGAAACTTCAAGACACGTCGAATATTGCTCTCTGTCCCCGAAGCAGAAAGCTAGTTTTTTTTTTCTTTGCTGTCTTAGAGTAATCAAAAGCAGTTTTTTTCGCTTTCAGCTGAAAGGATGGCGTTTAAGGTGAAAGAAGGCGCTTATCATGTTGTGTACGGCCTAGAAGAAAATATATTCGAAACATGAGGCCAGTCACGCGACATGTGACATCATTCTGATCCCCCTGCAGCCAGCATTCACACGATAGGGGAGAATTCAGGCTACAAGCGGCATTGATCCCCACGAATCGCAACTGTGACCCGGGCCTCCGTCGTTTCACGAATCTCTCTTTAAGTGATTATGATAAGAAAAAGAGTGCCACCTGAAATTGTCCATCATTTCGATGACACCTCAAGAGGTTGGCAAAGGGGATGGGGTAGTGGGAATAAAAGGGTTAGGTAAGAAAAAAATAAAGAAGAGGAGGAGGAAAAAAGATGCATTCACTCCGCCTCACTCAGCGCGAGCCCGAACCGCCACGAGAACCCACAAACGACCGGAAAAGCCGCCTAGAAGACCGGGGTAATATATGCGCCGAAGAAGAAGCTGATGATCCTATGAGGCGCATCAAAGGACAGGAGTGCACAGAACACTCGCCTGGAAATGTAGCCCAAGCACGAATAAAAAAATAGTTCAGTTCAACTCACAGGTGAGAGTCCCGATGGACTTGATGTGGTAATCCTGTAGTCTTAATTCGCCGGGCCGATGGCCTCATGCGCAGCGAGAACCACGGCACACAAATCACGCACCGGAGAATCCGCCAGGAGGAACACAATCACTGCGCCACTTGCGTTCGACTTCCTGCTCACGTCTCGTCGGTGTCGCGCGCCGTCTGCAGAGTGCGTTAACGAGGGCCTCTCTCAGTCTCCAGGATAGTCAATGTACGTGGCGGATCGTTGTTGGGCCATGGAAGGAGCAGAGCGGCGGGCGCGTTGAAGACGCTTACGCTCGGGTTAGTTGGCTCGCGTCTCATCGGTGTTAATCGCGTGCAGTCTGCATTCTCGAACGCAAACGAATGCATACACAGACGGACGGACGGACACGCGAACGGATGGATGCTTCACTCCACTCATCATCATTGATTCCATGGATATGATGTGATTTGTTTTTCTTCTTCTTCAGCTTTGAAGATGCTGGTGCGGTCGCCAACCCCTGCTGTTCGGCGTCAGCGGCCAATGTAGAAGCGTGTTTCTGTTGGGCCTTGTGTGCCGCCTTTTGGTGTTGCGCACGAGTGCACAGTGAAGTTGCAGTGACCTCATCTTTTTGGGTTCATGAGCGAGTGTCTCGGCTTGCTGCCTCCGACGCTCGTCTAGCAGGATTGTAAATATCCGCCTACGAGAGCGAGGGGCGTCTTCAGAATTGTACTTCATGGTACTGAGCTTTGCGTCATGCTTCTCCAGGGCCTGGGAAACCTCCATAGTTCGCTCTTTAAAGGGCTGCGCGCACAGAGGCGCGAAGTAGTGGCGAAAAAAATCAGGCGAAAGCACAGAAAAAAAAACGTCCTCTCGCTTTGAAAACCGACCTAATCGCTCTGCCAGACTAAGGCGGGGTCGCGGGAAAGGGTGACGAATGGTGACGTAGTACGCGACCCCCGGGTAGAATCGCAGTTTCATCCGTCGGGTGAATAGGCAGTTATAGTTTACCACTAGCGTGATAGCGGAGGTTAAGGGATTGGCGTGACCGTGCAGTAAATGTTCGTTACGGACAGCGTCTTATAGTTTAGCGGGATAGCGTTTACGTGGTTTACGTGCCCCAACTAGGTTGATCGCACCACCTATCGGAGGATTAATAAGTTAAAGGACAGTGAAAAGGAAATGAAATCGAGAATGTTTGCGTGTGTCACTGCACAAAGTATTGTTAAGGATTATTTTAGTAATAATAAAAGTAAACAATTATGAACCACATAAAAAACACGAAACAAACACGAATACGTTTGCTTACATGCATTGATCTTTTAGTTAGCCCTACAGATGTTCGAAATCGGAAGCTACCTCAAAATTTACGCTATCTTATGCGTAATACTTGGTCATCGAATCGAACTGAAGCAAGCGAAGCCATTTTAAATAGTCGTTTGCTGCGATCAAAGTGAATCTTTCAACAACTACGCTAAAACCACTTCAAAGCGGGTGTCTGAAAGCGCCGCTGCGGTTACGTACACAGTAACGTTGAATCCGAAAAATAGCGCGTGTACGGTAAGTGGTACGGGTAACGTACGTATTTGCACATGCGCACTTCGATTCCACTATCACGGTAAGCCCAGTATCCCAGTAATCGCTGTATACTATAACTGTGTAATAAAGCTTTAGCTGCGACGGTTCACAAAACCGGAAGCCACCCAGGACCTGTGTTCGTAAACAGCGAAAAGATCTATGTAAGGAGAAACCAGAGAAAGGGCAAAAGCCTCGTACCGATGCCAAATAGGTGCGTCATGCGGCCGATTGCGGTGTCCATCTTGAGCGCAAGACCGTTGAGCATCGTGCCGTCCAGTTCCCGGATGGCGCAATTGGCGTTGTCTTCTGAGTCCAGGAGCACGTAGGCGAACCGGGATGTCGGGTCCTCCAGATGCCGGTTCAGCCTCAGTCGAACAACCTGGCAAAGGTAGGCAAGCTTAATTAGTCAGGCGGGAGCAAGGAGCGTCTAAACCTTCGCGGATGTGCACTGTAGGAATATAATTCTTGCGAACAGTACTGACAGGCCCCGCACATGGCGATGCGCCTTTACCTGCTTACCAGCTGGTGCTGCGCGAGCTTCAGACCACCCTGTACATGGCTAGGATATACAGCAGCTTGGCCAACTCCCCTGGGTGGGCGTGTGCCAAAGATTGCTTATTTGTTTGTTTGTGGCCTGTCTATTCTCGCACATAACCCCTCTGGGGGGTTGGCCAAGAAAGCTTGTTGTAGTCTATGTATGATAACTGCACAATGATTGCCACCCTATAGGCTCTACTTGTACTTCTACTTGATTGCAAAAACGAAAGCCTTCAGTGCCTCACGCGATTGAAAACATGATGTGACGTACAAAACAAACAAACAAAAAAGAGGCGATCTTTACACCCAGTGTGAATAGTTTACCAACAAAGTTGCAAGGGACGGCTTGGTGTTTTTTGCAGGGTTCATCGCATCAATAAGTAAGTGGTTACGCATTCAGGGGTCACTTCAAGCGCCACGAACACGAACCACTAGTACCTGTGCTCGAAGTTGCTGCTTGCTAGCAGATGCGTTTTTTTTTTTTTTTACTGGCAGAAAACCTCTTCATACTTAGCAGGATAGTGGTGGGTAGCAGGGCTCGTCCAATCTCAGACGCACAGCTATTGCTAGATGTCCTCTGGCAACGAACATCCGTTTTGCCACTTTATACAGAGCTTCATAGTAAAAGGCACGTTACCTTCACAGCCCAAACGTTGAAGGTTCGATCCCTGCTGGCGGCAAGGTGTCCACTTCCCTTTCTTCCCGTCTACTTCACCATTACCACAAAACCGTAACAAAGCGCAGGGCTTTATTGCATTATCATCAGAAGCAGCATGAGTAGACACAAGAATTATTTATTAAGCTATTCGTAAATAATTTTTTGGACTTGTTCAAATCAATTTAATGGTATTTCACAATATTATTCTATACTTGTATATTCCTTATACGACCAAATAATTTATTTTCGTTCATCTAAACTTTACATTCCCTTTTACATTGACCGCCGGTTTAAATAGCCAATGCCCCATAGTGGGTACGAGCCACTTGTAAAGGGTCAAGCAAATAAGCAAGAAAACAAGCAAGCGGCAGTCGCAGCCATAGTACAACATGTAAAGCTCTGATGATGATAATCAAGTGGCCATACCGGATGGCCCTTAACTTCAAGTCGTCTAAGGCAAAATGCATACACCTGGCGTCTGAGCTTTTATGATGATGATCATCCCTTCTAACGGCCCGACCCACCGAGGAGTATTAAATAAATTCTGGAGTTAGCTGGGCTCCAACCAAGATGCGATCAGGCGGTACGGCCAGGTGGTGGATTCGGAATCAATATTTTTACACCTGCCAATTCGTCCAAGAAACAGGTCTCCACATTTCGCTCTGTAGAAATGCGGTCGCAGTGCCCTTGAAGTGAACCCGCACCCTGGTTTTAATTTTTAATGTAACGCCATAGCCACTACTTGAAGAATCGACAGTAAAAAAAGTCACAGTTTCGCAAAAGGGCGAAAAAATTAATGCGATAGCAATATTCTAGCACTGTCCTTCATTAAGACAGTACTCGAATATACGTCTGTTGTTTGAAATCCCCATCAAGTGACTCTTAAGAAGTTGAAAAGAATGCAGAAACCAGCCGTGCGCTTTGTTTTTTCAGCATACCGAAGGAAGGAATCAGCCACGCTGATGTTAAAAAGATGGAACCTAGATCCTCCCAAACTAGATAGAAATAAATATAGGCTGAGAGTATTCTTCCAGATCTTGCACGATCAACTCAAGATAGATAATATGCTCAAATATTTACATGCTCCACGCAAAAGAGATCCCCGAACTAACCACGATTGCGTCATAAAACCATACCGGGAAAATAGTGACACGTTTCAATGTTCTTTTTTTCCAGATGTCATAGAAATGCAGAACAAACTGCCAAATGATATTATTGTTTTAAAAGATGATACTGACTTCGAAAATGCGGTACAGGCACGTTTACATGATTGTTGAAGTGATTTTTTTCAGTGCCAAGTGATTTAAGCGACTTCATGTTGACAGCAAATATTTTTTTTATGACAGTGAATTTTGAATTGTTATATAATTGTTATTTCTAATGCTGAATTGTTATTAAAGAAAATACCAGTTTTCATTGTGAATCGTCCAAATATCACGCAACTTTATGTATATTGTACATTCCTTATGTATGTCTTTTCCGTTATGACCCTCCATGAGGGTTGACAGTATTATTAAATAAAAAAAACATATTCGGTTGTTTTAGGAAGCAAGGGACAGGAGCGGCTGTTCAAGCAATCGTACGTATAAGCGGGCATGAGTATAACAGTACGTTGTGTTGGGCTTGTTGGTACATATTAGGCTGAAAATACGTGGTGCAAGGTTGACAAAGAGAAAAAAAGACCAGACAGAAAGAGCGCCAACCAATAAACCTAGCACGGCAAGAAGCAGAAGCGATCAAGTGCACGTAATCCTGAGCCTGAGTAGAAGGTAAAACAGACTGGAAAGGGCCCCTTGTAGAAGAAATGAAGCTTAAAAGTACGTTATGTTGGGCTAGTTGATACATATTAGGTTGAAATACGTGGCGCAAGGTTGACAAAGAGAAAAAAAAAACGAGACAGTTGTTCGGCGAATTTTCACAATTTCGATGTTGCGAAAATATTCACACTTATTGAACCTGCAACATCCGAGTGCAGTGAATTGCACACTGTTGGTGTCTGACCATGGCTGTGACACAAACGCTACTTAATGGGAAATTAAATGCTGGTGTTTTGTTCAAGAAGCAACTCCATGGTGCTTTCAGCTCAAGTAATGACCACGGCGTAATATGTTTGCAAACCATCGCTACGTTAAACATTCGGTCCCATGCAGCCGCGACGGCGCGCTACTCGCTAGTGGTCCGCAACTACGCAAATCTGTCAGCCAGGCTCAGCGTAGAGAAAGAAAAAGTTAAGAGTGGACACTTCGCGAAATCTGGCCTCAGGAAGTGCGTCCTGACAACGTAACAAACTAGTACTCTCACCAAACGCCAGGGGACGCAAGTGCAAAAAACAAAAAGTTATTAATTCAAATGAATACTTTTTTTATAAAATAACAATAATAATAACCAATCCTGATATATGAACTGAACTATGACCATACATAGTGTGCTCATTCATGCATTATAAGCTCTATGATATATATAGTATAGTACATATTGCCTCTGATTAGTTTTTTTTCTTATTTATTCTTAATTTTGCTTTTTTATGTGTCTATATATTACATTACTGTTATCATGTGGGGATAGCCGGCTATAACGTAGCCTACCTTCCCATGTTGTGCCAAATATATATAAATAAAAAACGCCCATATTTGACATGTTCTTTATACATAAAAACAATTTATTTACCACACTTTATGTGGCTATTTTGTTAAGCCGCACTGCCATAAACCGCATCTATGATTCGCGCCGATTCGAGTACCCGCCATACCCCAGCAAGCATAGCTCAGGCATGGCAGTGGGAAGGTTTCGTCAACGCCGGCTGCTTCGGTGTTTTCGTGTGTGAGATAGTAGGCGAGGCACATTTTCAAGCGAAGCTTGTTGAATGACATTTTGTTGGGCTAGTTGGGTTACAACTGAAAAAGGTTACAACCGCTGCAAATAAAACACCATGTGACAACGGCGAGCTTTGCTAAAAAAATGTCACAGCTTTGCCGCAAAGGCAAAGCAATGAACGCGATAGAAACAAATTGGAAGGTCACGCGAAGAATGGCAAGCAGATCGAAATGGCCCCGCGTTTCTCACGCACAAATTACGCACTCACAGGCAGAGATGACCGCGAACAAGCGTTTCAATTACTTCACTGTGTCTGAAAAGCGCGCTCTTTTCGCAAACGGGGGTTGTGCAACGATTTCAGTGACCTTTGTGCGCCCCGTAACAACAACAGAATCGTTCCAGTGCAAGCCTAACGCCAGCCAAGAAGTATGATCCTCTCCACCGGCAGATAAGGGCCGCCGCCGCAGCAACGGGGTGAGAATAACCGCAATGCTATTCTCACCCGGTCAGGCAGTTACTGCTACGACCTGGGGAAAATAGCACAAACGCTACTTTCACCTAACTTGGCTTGGATCCGTACAAAGCTATGGATTTTGGAGAATGGTGGGTCAAGCAACCTGAGGTCCTCTGCAGAGTTAAATCTGACTCTCTGGGCATTTTTTTTTTTTTTTTGCGTGTGGGGAGCTGTGGCTTTTGGTTAAAAGTGGGTCAAGCAACCTCAGGATCTCTCGCCGTGTGGCGTGTGTGGGTGCGTGTGTGGGATGAGCTGTACGCGATCGCGAGCTGTACACATTTGTGTTGTGCTGGACGTGCGCTGATTGCGGTGTCCTTGTAGGGGGTGTGGGCACTGTGATTGAGCTTAACGTAGCCCATGTGCTTGGAGAACGCGGACAGTGTTTGCAACGCTTGAACTTGCAGTAGGGTCCCTTGCACTAGAGACCATATTTGCACTGTCACTACCTGATTCAGCGTTATTTTTGTGATTGCTAATATTTGATTTTTGTGTGTGTGTGAGGTGGCAGTGTTCGTTGTACAACTTTTACTGAGCACGAAAGTATGTTTTTCACTGTGCTTGATCATATGCTTAGGCAACTCGCTTTTGACTGTTTTGCCGCGTGCTCATTGAATGTAGCAATTCTTCAGTGAGTGGCATTGCAGCCATTTTATTGGTCAACAAGGCCGATTTTCTGTCTAGGTTAACCCGTGCAAGTGTTATGTAATTTCGATTGACATCCTGATCGTGATTGCAAAATGCAGAATGAGTCATTCCTGGTTGAGAAACATGAATCAAATTGAAAGAGCATGTATGGCACTACTCAATCATCATACAGCTGCACAATTGATAGTTGTACATAAACAAGTGTTCGGTG